CTGCCATAAAGCAGTGTTCATTGGACATGCTAAATGGGAACCAGTGAGACCGTCTGAGCCCACAGGGGAGAGTTAAAGCTGGAGTGTTGGCAGGTTCTCTCTGCGTTAGGTCTGTGTGGTGCGTGCACAGGAGCTTACATCAAAGGCTGTGGGCACCTCCCAACGACACTAGGGGGACTTTGGACTGGAGAATTCTCGTTGAAGGGGCATTTACTAACTTGGTCTCAGACATTAGTGGAAGTTACTCTTATGACTGAAGGACACAAAATGATCTTAAAACATGAAATACCCCTGCTGTCTTGGGTGATGTCAGAGAAATGCTCTAATAGGAATGGCAGTGCCCAAAAGAGTCCTGTGATAAAATGGAAGTAGTTTATACAGGATCATGCTGCCTAGGGAAAAAAAGGAGGAGATACGAGCAGGGAGCCCATTTTCCTCCAGGACTGAATCCGGAGCTATGTGAGGAGCTTCTGGATTCTATTGTCACTTGAACAGAGCCCTGTCAACCTCTCTCAACTGACCGACCCAGAGTGACTTGGTTTGTGGGTGGCAGTTCCAAGATGAACAGATACAGTCCTGTTGGAAGGGCTACTTTGATCAAAGCAGGTTAAAACAAATCAACTTGGTGGGCTTAAAAGCATGCTGTTACCTAGCAGTGATGGAAGAATTGAAGGGTTGCAGAAGCTTCTGTGTTTGGGTTTTTATTGACTCTCGGGCAGTGACCAGTGGCCTGGCCATACACTCAGCAAGAGGGCCATGGAAACCTGGCTATTAAAAGGATTCCTCCATGGAGCACAGCCCTGTGGAAATCTGAGGGTGCATTAAAGTAAAACAAGTCAATGCTCATCGAAACTCCCTTCCAGATTCCAAAGATGACTAGAGTCAACAAGCAGTTATCCCTGTGTCCTCCCCTGAAGTGGCCATCTGGGTCCCTGAGATAAGTGGGTAGCTATAGCAAAGAAGAGATGCACTGAATCTAGACATGTTCTGTACAGAGACTGACTCTGGTCTGGGCTTTGCTTACCCGGTGGAAGATGTAAATGCTCACCGTGCCGTTCAAAAGCCAGAACAGAAGATATTGCACCAATTTGGATGGCCCAGTCACATTTCTTTAGACCAAGGAACACACTGTACAGCCTGTAATGTCCAACAATGGGCAAAGCTAGCCTCCTCAGAGTAATAGTTTGATAAAGAAGTAGAACAGGCAATTAAAACATTGGTTTTCCTAAACAGGGGTAGATGAAGACACAACGGGCTGGCTTGCACATCTTCACAAGTGTAGTGCACACTCAGCATGAGTGGGGCTAAAGGCGTGTTCCCCTAACACTTTCCTCCGTTTCCTGGTGGATCTGGGGGAGAGGGGTGGGAGAGTGCTGGTATGACTATGCAGTTCTTGCCAAGGGAGAAGTACACAGGTATAATGACTGTAATTTTTTTCCTTCTCTCTCCACATCACTTTAACTCTTTTTCCCCTACGTGATGCAGGGGTCATAGGCCCAGGGCTGCAATTATAAGTGCTGACAGCAGGGATGATTCCTAAGCAGGAAACTGTTACCATGTTTTTAAAACTTGTGTCAGAATTCCCAAGGGCCCAATGGGGATGGGTTGTGCCTTCACCCCATCCAGCAAAATAGGGGTTAACACGGAATGAAGCTATCTTATTTTGTGGTGAATATAGCCCGCTGCTTTGTACCCTGTCTGAACAGAGTGGACCCGGGGGGAGGCACTTGCTAGACCAGTAATGCTCCCAGCAATTAGACCAGAACAGTGGCTTATCCAAGTGTCCCTTCCAAGGATGGAAATGTTTGGGTCTAAACAAAGAGAAGGAGAAATCATAACTGATGGAAAAGAAGTGAATAAAAGGCTCCTGCAATGAAGGAAGTCTCATATTATATTAACACTTTAACACTTTGAAAACAGTTCAGAGCAAGAGATATCATCGCCTCTTAGCTCAGTTATCCCAGATGCCTGGAAGCGTAAAGCTATGTGTTTGCCGAGGCCACTCCTGCTTTTGAGGCCCTACGGGACAGGGTAGAAGCCTGCAAATCTGAGTAGCCCCACCCTGGGAGACATTTCCATAAGATATGATGATGAACTGGACTAACTCTTAATGAATGCATGGGATTCTAGTCATGTGATGGTATCTTTTGAGTTGTATATCATTTTGCTGTAAGAGATCTGTGGCCAGAAACAGGGGGTGGACTGTGATATTGAACTATAATAAGAAATAGCTTTCGGTCTCTGCCCCCAGTTCCTGGCACAGACCTCCTAAAACCCTTGTAATTTCCCGAGCAATAGGGTTGCTAGGAGCATCTTTTGTTCTGATGTTTGGTCTTTGACTCCGGTTCCTGACACAAAACTCCTAACCCCTGGAATTTTCTGGGTGACAGGAGTGTCTTTTGTTCTAATGGAGCCACTCCTGGTGGGTTCCTGCACGGGGGCTGGTCGCCAGAAAGACCAAGCCATCTCCCCTGGGAAGAGAAGAGGGGCTGGAGATGGAGTTAATAATCAATGACATGTATGTGATGAAGCTGCCATAAAAATCCCTGAACTGCCGGGCGTGGAGAGCTTCCGGGTTGGTGGACATGGGGGAGCGCCTGAGGGAGGGAACCTCTGTGCCCCTTCCCCATGCCCTGCCCTGTGCATCTCTCCATCTGGTGCTCATCTGTACCCTTTACAATATCCTTGATATTAGTAGTAAACTGGTAAATGTAAGTGAACTGTTCATCGGAGTTCCATGAGATGCTTTTGCACATGAATCAAACCCGAGGCAGGAGTCGTGGGAACTCCTGATTCATGGCTGATCTGTTGGAAGTTCTGGAGGCCCAGCCTTGCAATTGGTATCATGCAGGCAGTTTTGTGGGACTGGGCCCTTAACCTGTGAACTCCCAGTAGATACTGTCAGAATTGATGTGTGGGGAAAAACCCGGACAGAACTGTTCTGTGCTGTGCTGAGAGTATAGGAGGGGAAATCAGTTTACTTTTTTTTCCTGCCAGGTAACAGAGCCTCTTCTGTTTGCTCCTGGGAGAACCTGGGATTCTCTTCTTTTAAGTCTGATGGACACAAAGGACTTCATCTACCTGGGTCCTTCCTTGTATACAGGATTTTCTGTTTGAAGGCTTTTAAGCACAATCACCATGGAAAAAAAGGACAGAAGGTTAATGTCGGGTTTCCCCAAAATATATGTTGAAGTCCTAACACCCAGCACCTCAGATGCAACCCTGTTTGGAGACAGGGCTGTACAGATGTAATTACTTGAGGTCCTGCTGGGGTAGGTGGGCCACTGGTCCGATGTGCCTGGCGTCCTTACAACAAGAGGAGAAGAGACATATGCACATGGCTGTGGAGATGCAGGCAGAGGCTGGAGCACTGCAGCCGTGAGCTAGGGAACACCAGGGATCCACAGCCATCCCAGGAGCTGGGAGAGGCAAGGAAGCATTCTCCCCTACAGATTTCAGAGGCGGTATGGCCCTGCTGACACCTTGGTATTGGACTTCTGGCCTCTAGAACCGTGGGGGAATACATTTCTGTTGGCTTCAGCCACCCAGTTTGCAGTCCTTTGTCACAGCAGCCCTAGAAGCCAACACAATTACGGCAGGGGTTCCAGAATCTAGTAGTAATTCTGTGTTGTGCTTCACAGCAAGGCAGGGACCATCTTTGCTGATCAGCTTCTCGCTGAAACCTCCAGGCCCTCATAATCTCACTCCTGTATTCCTAGTGACAAAGCCTGCTATAGTCTGAATGCTGGTGTCCCCCGCCAGATTCATATGTTGGAAACTGGTGCCCAATGTGATAGTATTAAGAGGTGGGGCTTCTGGGAAGTGATTAAGTCATAAGGACCCTTCCCTCGTGAATGGGATTAATGCCCTTATAAAGAGACTTGAGTGGGCTTCCTTGCCCTTACTGCCATATGAGGAGGCAGGAACAGGACACCATCTATGAAACCCTCACAAGACCCTTAATCTGCTGGCACCTTGACCTCGGACTTTGGAGCCTTCTGAACTCTGAGCAACACATTTCTGTTGTTTATGAACTGCCCAGTTTAAGGTATTTTGTAACAGCAGCTCAAACAGATTAAGACAGAGCCCAACCAAACACCCTCTCCTTGGCTTGCTCCACTCCTTCCTTTTGTTGCCTCTCACCTCAGTAAGGAATGGGAAGGGAGAGATGAGGGATAAACAAGCACGGTGACAGATTGGTCCTAGACCAACACGGGTGATGCATGCATCAGAGATTTCCTGGGCCTTGCTCTGACTTTGGTCTTCCAGCGGTGTGCAGACCTGCTCTGCCCCACTCTGCTCCACTGGTCTCAGTCTTCCTCTTTCATCATTGTTCACCTCACTCCCTTCTTCCCTTGTTCCCAAACCTATCCTGATGAGAAGTTTGAATTTTGTTTTAAGGAAAGACCTTCTAATGCAGTGTGGAGGGAGGGCATTCCCACGTATATACATACTCCATGCTCATTTGAAGTGATTTTGCGAATTACAAAACCACAGTAATTTTCAGGAGTAGTGGCATGTCTCAGTAGGAAATGTGGAATGGAATCACAGAAAGCTTGAGAATAAGAAAAATTAAAAGATAGGATGTGCTGACATTTGTGAAAGCCCTAAAATAATTTGGTGTCCATAGCGGGAACCTCATGATACTCATTTACATAGTATGGAAGGCTATTTGACAAAAAAATCAAATGAGGTATAGGAATAGTAACTCATTATAAATTGGGGACAATAAAGCCAAATTCTACTGGATTTTAGAGTTATACAGATGACTCTCTAAGCCCTAAATTAGGGATATAAAAGTCCATAGGCAGCTTTGGGGCTGAAAGGGGTTCAGTAAGCATCTTGCTGTATAATGGAGCAAGTCCTGACCCAGAAAAGAATCTGTACTTTGTCCCAGATGGGCTATAACTTGCTCTGTGACTACCATCACGTGTGTTCTGGCAGAGACTCCTAGGCAGGAAGAGGAGTGGGGAAGCTATGAGAGCAGAAAAGGGAAGGTGTCAGGTGTGTGCTGACTGGAGGCTGCTGGCCAGGGAAGCGGGAAGGAAGTGGGCTCTTCAGAGGTGGTGTATCCATCCTCTGTAGTTGGTTAGGGCACTTAGTTCACTCTCTCCAGTCGGGGCTGATTGCAGAGTTCTAACTTTATATGTGGTCTGGCCATTGTCCATGTGTATATTCAGTCTCTCCCAAGCTAGTCATCTGGTAAGTGACCAGCAAGCTTTAGTTACTCAATACAAAGAAACCAAACCAGCATTAGATGGGGAGGAGAGTTCTATCTGGAGATGTAACACTGTGATGGTGGAAGCAGTCCCAAAGAATGATAGCCTGTGATACCATGCTTGGGGGTGTGGTCTTCCAGTCTCATCAGAAAAAGTACAGAGCTCAGAGCAGAGAGAATCACATGGAAGCAACTCTCTCCTAGACTCTCCTAGATGTTAGGTCTCTGAGATCACAGTAATGCAGTCAGCAATGAAAGCTACCTGGTTAATTAGAGAAACCCAGCTCCATTGGTGTAAGAGAGAAGTCTGGTAAGCCTTCTTATGGAAAATTCTTTACCTATTTTCCCTTCAAATATTGTTTCTGCTCCATTCTCTCAACTTTCTCTCAACTGGAATCTTTCCATAAATAAGTTGGAGCTTTTCATTCTTTTCTCCATTTCTTTTCACTTTTTGTCTCTATTTTCTATCTGTTCAGTTCTCTGGGTCAAAGTCTATTTTGTGTTCCCAGATGCAGTTTCGGCTCACTCGTTTTCCCTTCTGTTGTGTTTGGCTTACAGTCTAACTTGTCTGTGGCATTTTATTTTAATGGCTGAATTTGCACTTACGGTGTTTTTTCAATCTCCTTGTTCCTTTTAAAAGTAATTTTGTATTCTTATATTACACATTAAATACTTTCTTTATATATTCAAACTTTGAAAACAGATCCACTTAAAATATTTTTCACATTCCCTTATTTTTGTGTTCCTGGGGGTGAGCTACCCCCAACTCTCAGCTTTATTTGGGGAACTCGGTTTCAGCTTCTCATCACACACAGGCTTGAGGCCACAAATTCTGTTTCTCCTCGAGTACTAAACTCCAGTGCCAAGGGATTCACTGCACCCCATGGGCTCAAATCATGTTGAAACTCAAAAGCCACCTCTCTGCTTTCAGTTTCCTTTTATGACTTTATGACTGTAGCACCTTTCTTGCTTTTGAGCTCTCTTTCCCACAATGGTTCTATTCAGCATTTCTCTGTGGGAGGAGCAGCAAGGTCTGCTCAGTCTCACATGTTAACCAGTGTCAATGAATATTTGTAATGCACCGACTGTATGCCCACTTGGGCTAGGCACTGATGATACAGAAGTAAACAAGGCATGGGCTTTTACCTCAAGAAACTTATAGTCCAAAGGACCAGACAGACAAATGAACCAATATTTATAATAAAATAAAAGATGTGCGATGGTACAAGTATTGCAGGTTTTATGGAAGTCCCAAGGAGGGGCATCTGACTCAGGCTTAAGGGGGAGTAAGGGGAAGTCAGCAAAGAAAATGCATGTTCTTCTAAATAAAGATCTTATTGGAACAAATGAATGAGAAAGGGCATTTTTGTGGGGAAAGTATTTTGGCTTTATTTTCTTTTGAAATCTTTGTGTAGGCCCCAAACCCACAGTTGCACACAGACATCCTTGTCTCCCTACTTCTCATAGGATGGGACTTTTGTTACCTATGTGTTTCCTTTCAGCATCAAAGATATTATCTGGTGAATCATTCATTCAGCAAACATCATGCAAACAGTTATTAGGCTGGCTTCCCAAAAGGCTAATTTTACTACTGGGATATAGGTTATACCCTGGAAGACTTTCAATCATTGCCAACTGCCATTGTAAATATTTATTAGAAGTTTGTTCCCAGTATCTTAGGAAGCTTTATTCTGTTGTTTTTGTTTTCCTTTATACATTAACATGGATAAAGAAATATCCATGTTATGTGCCATGCACATATTTTTGGCAAGGTATAAAAATTAGGCTTGGCACAGTAGGTCATGCCTGAGCAACATGGTGAGACCCTGTCTCTACAAAAATAAAAAAAAATTAGCTTGGCATGGTGGCTCACATCCATAGTCCCAACTATTTGGGAGGCTGAGGTGGGAGGATTGCTTGACCCCAGGAGGTCGAGGCTGCAGTCAGCTCTTGACTGCACCATTGCACTCCAGCCTGGGTGACAAAGTGAGACCCTGTCTCAAAAAATAAAATAAAATAACAAAATAAAATAAAAATTGTTTTTTAATATATATTGAGGATAAAGGATCTGGAATGGAAGAAATATATTGAACTATCTTTAGGACCATAAGATGTTTAAGCTGGATGTTACCTTGTTGAAAATGAGGTAAATCTAGGTGAAACCAGGGTTTCTTACCCTTAGTATGATTGAAATTTTGAGTCAGATAATTCTTTGTTGTTGAGGGGCTTTTCTGTGCATTGTAGGATGTTGAGCAGTGTCTCTGGTCTCTATTGACTAGGTGCCCATAGTCATGAGTTGCTGCATGTCCCCAGATGAGAACTGCTGGTCCAGATTCCTTATTATAGAGCTAAGAAATGAAGGTTCAGAAAGGGAGGGTGATATGGCTTAGACAGCCAGTGAGAATCAGAATTTGGACCAGCACCTCTGGGTTCCTGACTTTATAAGGCTCTTCTCACAAAAATGAACTGCAACAAAACCTGCTGGCTAATATTAGCCTCTCAATCCCATTTGCATCAGAGCCCTGGGCTCAGACCCTCAGAATAATGTAGCTTCTATTGAAGAACTCAAATTTGGCAAGCTTGTCCTGTTTGAGTTGTCTCCAATTCACTTAAGAACCAGGATTTTTGTGAAATTTCAATGACAGTCATTGAGTTGATTCTGAGTGACCAAAATGTTCCTTCCAAACTCACACTTTCTTTTTGAACAAGTGTCTGTTTCTCTTTCCATCTGCTTGTGAAGAAACAAATCCTTTGAGTCAGTCCCAGAGGATTATTTTAAACATGTGAATTGATTTTTTTCCACGGTACTAATGATTGAGTGACTGCATGCTTGCCAAACAGTAAATAAATCCGTGCATAGCTTTTGTTCATTTGATAATTGGGTGTAATATATGCAAAGTTAAAGTTCACTTCATGAAAACATCCGGTTTTAGTTGAGGTCTTTTCTTCTGGTCAGTGAACCCAAAGGCCTAGGGAAAAAAATCAATTCACATGTTTGAAACACTGTGGTCCTGCCATTTGCCTCTCATTCATCATGTTGACAAACAAGTGTAAGGGAGAACAGAGGGTGAATGAGACCAGGCTCCAGAATGTTCCTCCTCGGGGAGCGTACCACTGCGGGCGCAGCCCTCTCTGGTTGGCAAGAGGCTCCCTCACCTCCAGGTTGCCCAGGGTCATTTGGCAGGCCTGGGTTGGATTCTGACACTTTGCAGAGCTGTTGTCACCGAGACCAGCAGCTTGTGGTTGGGAAAGACCACCTGAGCCAGCAAGTGGTAAGTGACATTCAAGCTAAGCTCAATTTATGTCAGTATGCCGGTGACGAAATTCACAACTCGATTCTCCCTCAGGGCTGCTGAGTGTCTGATGGGACAAATCCTTCCAACGGCCGCAGCAGGTGCTTCTTCTAGCCCTGTGTTGCAACGACCTGCAGCTCCTGGGGATAACTCAGGAACGCTGCTGACGCCATCAGGAGGCTCAACACCCTCACCCGCTTACGCTACGACCAGCAAAAGCAAACCCCACAGCTGCCTGCCAGCCGGGAAGAAGGACTATGTTTCCATGTTGTGAATCTCCTCATTGTAGCCAGATGATGAATTTGCTGCTGGCTTTGTGCGAAACTGAGAAATACCCAGCGTCCAACTGAGGGCCGGGGAGGTAACAAAATCAAACTGATGAATTAAAGAAATATTGCCTGGTCAGGATGCCTGGAGGCCTCAGAGTTCTGATCTTTCTTCTGAGTTACTACATCTTCTGGACTGTTCCTAGGGTGGTGTTTGTGATAAGTTGGTTTGCCCAGTAAAACTGTCACCCAGTCAAGGTAAGCCCTACCTCCTGCGCTTTCTCACGCAGTGGCGTGGAGCGTGGTAGGGAAGAAAGGGCATTTGACAGCAAGTCGAAAACTTTGGACTTCATTCGTGGCTGTGATGTAGGAGTTGGAGTCAGTGGCTCAGTGTTGGGAGCGTCTCATTTCTCTCCGACTCCATAGGCTGTGACATCACCCACAGCTTTGATTTGTGTGTCCAAACTCATCCCTGCACTTTCTCTTCAGAATCTGGCTAACACTTCAAGTTCCTCACCAGCTTCCAGAACTATGGTTAGCTCAGACTCAGTCACAGCTTCCCCAAACTGTCATCCTACTGTTTTTATCTTACGGTTGAAGGAACTGAATCCCAGGCAGTCTGAGCAGCCCATTTAGAATCACACCACAGATTTCCTCACCCCTGTCCCGCACCACAGAGCCTTCCCATTTTTACATGTCTTTTATATTAACACAAAACCAAAAACTCATAATGAAGGCAGTAGTGTAGAAACCTGAAAGTTATTTTGTTATAAAAGTTCACTGTGAACCAGGATTTAGAAAATGCAAACCCTCGGGTAAAATGAAGTGTTTTCGGGAGACTCACCAGCAGGATCCCTGCCCCCAATTCTGAGAATGTGACCATGAGGACAAGAGGCCCGACTGGTCACCCCAGGCCAGGCCATCTCTCTGACAGCCTGGATTTTCCCTGCATGCCCCCAGATCCATCCTAATCATGCAGCTCAGGCGCTGAGAGCTACTGATCAGATGTCGGCAGGTCATCTAAATCCATAGGCACGGAGCAGCCGCTCTACTTTGCCTGGCAGAGCTGCAGCTGGCACCTGCAGACACCACCCAAGAGACATTTCTGCAGTGGCTGAAGTGTCCGGAATCTCTACTCCTGGAGCAGTGGCGAGTGAGCACAGGTGGCTGTGGAGACTTAAAATGGGGCTAGTGCAAGTAGGAAACTGCATTTGCAAGTTTATGTCATTCTAACTGGTTTAAAGTTTATGTGGCCACATGTGGTTAGCATCTAATGGATTGGACGACACAGTTAGAAAAGCCCCTCGCCTGGGCACTGCCAGCTGCAGGCACATTCCTAACCGAAGACGTACTGCTTGTTCCTCTGGGTATGCGGGCTGCAGTCTCAGTGTCTGCTCACCCGTGTGGACACGCCTGCCTTTGCCAGCGCATCACTCAGCTGCCCCTTCCACACACACACATGCACCCCATTCACCTTAACTTTGTGCGTCCAAGTCTTTTCTTGGCCTCACCTGCAGTCTTGATGCCCCAAGTAGAAATCTTTGCATGTTGAGTGAGGGGCCTGTGGGCAGCAAACCGCATTCTCCTTACTCTGCGATCGTCAAGGAGTCACCCCTGCCACTCTTCTCCCTCTGACCTCAGCGAGAGCACCGCTCAGCAATTTGCCTAACTGAGAATCCACAGCTCCCCGGTCCTGTCTGGCTCCCTGCCTTGGAAGCAATGTTCTCACATCTTCCTCCACCCAGGCAGCTGCTGGCATCTCCACAGCTCCCTCTCTCCGCGGCTGAAGTCAGGGCCCACAGATGGTGCCCCCATTTTCCTCCGCAGCTCGGCTTACCGCATTTACAGGGGTGGCAGAAGCCAGTGAGAATGAATATTAAATTACCTAAGGCAGAACTTCTCAAAATACACTCCTCAAAACACGTTGTTGTTGTTGTTGTTGTCGTTTTTCCCACAAACTGGGTCCATTTTCGCTTCAGTGAAAACCACACTCTCACTTTCCTTTCTGTGAATTACCAGGAAAGAGCTCCATTTTACTTTTTTTTTTTTTTTTTTTCTGTCAAACATTTTCTTCTTAAACTTTTTGGCTACTACATGTTTTCAAACAGACGGCTAATCCGGTAGCAAATGAACTGGGTTTTTCTTAGCCTTGACATATGCCTGTCAACAGCCTTTTTCTTTTTTTAAAAAATTAAACCCAGATTTTTGTACAAAACCAATAAATACCGTGTCCAACTGAAGGCTGGGGTGGTGGCAACAAAATCAAGCTGATGAATTAAAGAAATATTGCCTGGTCAGGATGCCTGGAGGCCTCAGAGTTCTGATCTTTCTTCTGAGTTGCTTCATCTTCTGGACGGCTCCCAGGGTGGTGTTTGTGATAAGTTGGTTTGCCCAGTAAAACTGTCACCCAATGAAGGTAAGCCCTACCTCCTGTCCTTTCTCATGCAGTGGTGTGGAGCGTGGTGGGGAATAAAGGGCGTTCGACAGCAAGTTGAAACAAACTCTGGATTTCATTCATGGCTCAGACACTGCTCTTTGAAAGGAGTTTTGAAGCAAGCTTGCAAACGGTTACACCTGAACTCTCAGATAAGAGCAATTCCACACGAGGTCAGGAGATCGAGACCATCCTGGCTAACACCGTGAAACCCCGTCTCTACTAAAAAATACAAAAAACTAGCCGGGCGAGGTGGCGGCGCCTGTAGTCCCAGCTACTCGGGAGGCTGAGGCAGGAGAATGGCGTGAACCCGGGAGGCGGAGCTTGCAGTGAACTGAGATCCGGCCACTACACTCCAGCCTGGGCGACAGAGCGAGACTCCGTCTCAAAAAAAAAAAAAAAAAAAAAAAAAAAAAAAAAAAAAAAAGAGCAATTCCATTCTTCCAGTTGCTTGGGCCAAAAACCTCCATATCAGTCTTGACTCATATTTCTCTCACACACGTACAGTCTGTCAGCTCCACCTCCACCATATATGGAGAGCGGGATGCCGTTCCTACCTCCCGTGCCAACCCCCTGGTCCAAGCGACCATGGCCTCTCAGCAGGGTGAACGCAAGAGACCCTTCTCTGGTCTCCTTGTATCACCCTTGAGTTTTAAAATCTATTTCCCACCCAGCAGCCAAAGAACCCCATTCCTCCTCTGTGGTTCTCCTCCTCACTCAGGAATAAGCCCTGCGTGATCTAGAGCCCCTTCCCAGCCTCTCCCTGCACATGCATCTTACCCTAGCTGCCCCTTCCCCCTTCCTCACCCCTCCCCCGCCTCTTTCCTGTCGTCCAGCACGCTCTGCTCCGCCTTGGTGAGCACTAGCTGTTCCCTCTGCCAGAACACTTTGTTCCCAGCATCTTCACAGCCCAATCCCTCACTTCCTCCATATGCTGGCCTTCCTAAACATTTATCTGAAGTTCCAGCATCCTCTTGCACCAACACATAATACAGACACACATTCCTGGCTTTAGTGTTCCTTGCTAACATTTCTCTCTTGAAAGCATATCTTATGCAGTTACTCTGTTTATTTCCAATCTCCTGCGTAAGAATGTAGCTTCCTGAGGACAAAGATTTGGGTCTCTTTTGTTCACTGCTGTGACCTCGCTGTCCAGAAGAGTTAGGTCTAGTCCTCTGTAGACAGTCGGGAAAAGTTAAGTGACTTCATGAAAGCATCTTCTTCACAGCAGTACCCACATTCTGTATTGTGGTGTCAACACTGGCTCACTTTGAAATGACTGGCCTCTAATGTAGAGACAACCCAACCTTCAACACAGTCACTGCCTGACTCTTCAAAAGCCCTGTAACCACTGAGGTAGGTTATTAAACTTAGTATCATAGGACTTTTAAAAAAATAGCAACAATTTTGAGGTATAACTGGTGTACAATAAACTGCATACCATTTAAGAGTAAAGTTTGATAAACATTGATGTGTATGCATCATTAGCACATGAATTATAATGAATATGCCCATTATCCCCTCAGATTTCCTCATGCTCTTTTTAATTCCTTCCTCTTGCCTCCTACTTTTTTCTACAACTACAACTATTGATCTGTTCTCTGTCACTATAGATTCGCTTGCATTTTCTAGAGTTTTAAGTAGATGAAATCATGCATTACGTACTTTTTCCCCAGGTTCATTCACTCAGCATAGTTATTTTGAGAAGCATCGACGTCACTGTGTGCATCAGAATCCATTTCTTTTTACTGCTCAGTAGCATTCCACATTTATCCAGTCATCTGTTGATAGGCATTTGGGTTAGTTCCAGTTTGGAGCTATTACTAATCAAGCTGCTGTAAACATTAGCATACAAGTCTTTGCATGGGCATCTGCTTTCATTTCTTTGTGTAAATACTTGGGAGTGAAAATGGTTGAGTCATATGATGGGTACATGTTTAGCTTTTTAAGAAACTGCCAAACTGTTTTTAAAAATGGTCATGTCATTTTGCACTCCTGCCAACAGCAAATGAGAGTTCCTGTTCCTCCACGTCCTTGCCAACACTTAGTATGGTCGGTCTCTTTAATTTTAGTCATTCAAGTGGCTGTGTAGTAGTCTCTCACGGTGCTTTTTATTTGCATTTCTCTAACGATTAACAACTTTTTAAGGTATAATTGCCATGTATTAAATTGCACATGATTACAATATGCAATTTAATCTCGTACATCTTTTTGTTTACTTGCCATCCCTATATCTTCTTTCATAAAGTATGTGTTCAAATCTTTTTTCCATCTTTTATTGTTCATTTTTTATTGTTGAGTTTTGAAAGCTCTATGTATATTCTGGATGCAAGTCCTTTATCAGCTATATAATTTTCAGTGTTTTCTTCCAGTCTGTGTTTAATATTCTCATTCCTCTAAGAGCATCTTTTAAGAATCAAAAATGCTTATTTCTAATAAAGTCCAATTTATCAATTTGTTCTTTTATGGATGGTGACTTTGATGTCATATTAAGAAATATTTGCTTACCCCAAGATTGTAAAGATTTCTCTTATGATTTCTGCTATAAGTTTTATAGTATTCAGTTTTGGTCATGTATATATTTATATTCTGTATGATGTACATACATTAAATTTATGACTCATTTGAGCTAATTTTTTTATCTGATGTGAGGTATGTATAAAGTTAACTTTTTGGCCTATGGGTATATCCTATTGTTTTAGCAGTATTTGTTGAAAAGGCTATGCTTTCTCCACTGAAATGCCTTTGCACTTTCGTCCAAATTATTTGTTCATATACATGGATCTATTCTGGGACTCTCTTTTCTTGCATTGATCTATTTGGCTGTCTTTATACTAATACCATACTGATTTGATTACTGTAGCTTTATAATAATCCTTGAAACCAAGCTGTGATGGCACTCCAACAAAGTTATTTTGTCTATTTTAGGTCCTTTGCATTTCTTTTTCTTTGTTTTTTTTTTTTTTTTGAGATGGAGTTTCACTCTGTTGCCCAGGCTAGAGTGCAGTAATGTGATCTAGGCTCACTGCAAGCTCCACCTCCCGGGTTCACACCATTCTCCTTCCTCAGCCTCACAAGTAGCTGGGACTACAGACGCCTGCCACCACGCCCAGTTAATTTTTTGTATTTTTAGTAGAGACGGGGTTTCACCGTGTTAGCCAGGATGGTGCCAATCTCCTGACCTCGTGATCCACCCACCTTGGCCTCCCAAAGTGCTGGGATTACAGCCGTGAGCCACCGCGCCCGGCCAGGTCCTTTGCATTTCTGTAAGAATTTTAGAATTGGCTTGTAGAATTAAATTCTACAAAAAAGGCTTCTGGAATTTTGACATAGATTGTGTAGAATCTATAGAACAATTTAGTGAGTTAACATTTTAGCAACACTGAGTCTTCTGTATGACATATCTTTCTGTTTATAGGTCTTCTTAATTTTTCTTGTTCCTCTTCTGTAGGTATTCAATGTAGAGGCCTTGGATATCTTTTATAAATACTTTTCCCTAATAATTTATTATTTTTGTTGCTATTTAATTTCAATTATTGACTGTTACCAGTATATAAATAAACAATTTTTGCATATTTATTCTGTATCCTACAACTATAATAAATTACTAGTTTTAGCAGTTTTTGTTGCTGTTTTTGATGTCAGATGCCATCAGATAATTCTAAATAGACAATTAAGTCAAGTTATCTTCAAATAAAGGAAAATTACTTTTCCCTTTCCAGTTTAGATATTTTTTCCTTTTTCTTGCCTGAGTGAACTGTATAAAATCTCCAGTACATTTTTAAATAGAAGTGGAGAGAGTGAACATCTTGTTCTGTTACCAATCTTGAAGGAAAACAATTAGTTTTTCACCATTAATTATAATGATAACTGTAGGTTATTCACAGATCCTTATTATCAGATTGGGGAAGTTCTAATCTTAGTTTGCTGAGAGTTTTTTAAAATCACAAAGAGATGTTGGATTTTGTTGAATGATTTTCTGCATCTATCAAGATTATCATATGGTTTTTCAATTTTAATTTGTTAACATGATAAATTTTATTGATTAATTTTTAAATATTAAATCAACCATGCACTCCTTGAAGAAGTCCCACTTGGTTGTGACGTATTTTCTATTTGAAATTTTTTTTTGATTTAGTTATTAATATTTTGTTTAGAATTTTTACATCTTCTGTAATGTCTAAGTAGCTATTAATTCATACCTGGTATATTTTTCATCTAACAGTTTATAGTTTTTTTCTCTAGAAGTTTGATTTGGATCCACTTAACTTCTTGAACAACTAGAATGTAGTTATATAGTTATAATAACTGTTTTATGTCTTTATCTGCTAATTCAAACATTTGTATCAGTTCTGGATCACCTTTGATTGGTTGAGTTTTCTCCTCAGTGTAGACACTTTCGTGTTTCTTTGCATGCTTGGTGAATTCGTGTTTCTTTGCATGCTTGGTGAATTTTACTTTGGTGCTGAGTATTTTTATATATCTACG